CGGCCTGGCGGTAGGTAGCAAACAGCAAAGACCGTTCAAGCCATAGTAGTCATATTATCCATAGCAAACAATCGCACTTACCTGGACAGGCAACCCGTTTGTTATGTTCAGACCGCTTATGGGTGACCAGCTAGCTCGCGAGTTCGGTAGCGACATATTTAACTGAAGGGGACCAAAGGTCAAACCATTAGTTTTCCCTAGTACTTTGACACGAGGGCATGGAGGGTAGGAACTTACTTGAGTGTATATATGATTTTCCTTGCTAGCTAGAAGAAACCATGTAAGCGAGCCGAATCACACCGAAATATCTTATTCAAGAGGATCAAAAACACTGACGCGAATATGGATTAAAAAAGTTTAGAAAATTATAGGTAGCTACGACGAAGGAGGTCAGCTGCGAAAATGACTACAAAACCACCGCCTGAACAAAACGAAAGAAACCAACCACGCAGATACGAACTTCAAGGATCTTGTGACTGAGGATATCGGAACTTCGGCGGGATATATGCACACCAGCATATATATCATATATGCACGACCTTTCACAGAAAGGGTCTTTCAAAAGCCATACGTGTATGCTGCGAGTGAAGCTCACGAAGGTTAACTAGACGAGGCAAAAAGTACGGAACTGCAAGAGAGTGCAAGATAAACCACTTACGAAAGGACATCCAATCGCGTTTTAGACGTCAAAAATCTGATTTAGTAGGGAAATAAAAAGATCATGAAAGTAGAACTTTTTATTTCCTTACTACCCAATGCTACCAATCTGGGGTGAGGCAAAGAGCACCATCTTAGCCTCATCATTCGTGGGCGGTAGAAGACGTGCCTCACTGAAACTATCTGAGGCACGACTTCCAGAAGCCTACTGAATCGCTAATCCCAGCACGAATGGCGTCTCAGATTGAAAAATCACCCCAATCTGAGACTCGTATGTGATCAAACGTGGAAAACGAAAGCGTTTGGTACTACGAAGACCTGGGATTCTGCGCCTGGTCCTTATTGGTCTTACAGAAACCTCATCGATCTCAATTTGAAGCTGGTCTGACCTACATAACTTATCGAACTCAGATTTATCAACCGATCTCAATTTGAAGCTGGTCTGACTTAGATAACTTATCAAACTCAGATTCATTATCAAACTCAGATTCATCTTTGTAATCATCAAGATCAAGATCAATATAAAGAAATCTCCATGAAGAATGAAAGTCAAGAAGAAAGTCAATTTGCCATCGAATTAAATTTAAATTCAAATTCAAATTTAAATTGATTGAATTTCTTGAATCAAATCATCGATTCAAAATTACTTTGTTTACTTCAAATCCCAGTTTTCCTCTTTCTCCTGCTACTTCAACTCGTGCAAGAGTTATGGGTAATTTAATTTTGTATCTCTTCAGTGTTCATTATAAGTTCAATTGCATGGTGTGTGACAACATCATCATATTAGTTTTTTAGATATTTTTATCTTGTTCTTTCTGTGTTTACTTGTCTTACCTCAACCTGATTCTTTTTCTATATTGTCTCGGTGATTTGATTTTTTGCCAATGCTTTGATATCGTCTCTTATTTCACTTTATAGTATTGCCTTTTTTGATATAGTCTCTTTCATTTCATTCTTGCAGCAAGATATGCAATCGATGATGTCCATTATTTCATGTCCACTTGTCTCGTTTAGTTTCAGAATGATCTTATATATGCAGTCATACTTTAGCAAATTGTCTTTTTCCTTTCAAAGACAACAATAATACATATTTAATACATGACAACATGATCAAACTGAACAAAGTGTCTTGTGGAATCAGGATAGGTGCTCATGTTATGGACAAGCATCATGTACTTTTAGGTGAGATTATGAGCACTGCTGTCACTGAGCTTTGGTCCAAATGTTTACTCAAACACATGAAAGTTGATTGATGGTCAACTTCAGATACCGTACTTTTTGAAAAGGATTAGATTGTCATTGTGTAATAACAAAATAGTCTAGAGTGGGGCCAATTGAATCAAAGTGATACAGAAAGATAACATGTTGGAACTATCATTGATCGATTGATTGGTGGGGGATACATTCACTCAAAGGGATAAGAAATAGTTTTGAAAAAGAAATGATAAAGTATGAAATAAGTGGGTTGACTGATTTCAAGATGCGATAAGTGTTAAATATAATTGATACAAGTTGAGTTGATTTGCCTCAATGAGAAGCTACACAGTTTTGATCGGTCAAAAAGGCAATCAGTGATGGTCAGTTTGGTGATCGATTGAAAACAACTCAAATCAGGCATTACATAACATTTCAAAATTGATCAGGTGGAGCTATTTGAAGCTGGAATGCATTCAGCAAGAAGCTTGAGAACCAATCCCATATCGTTAAGGGTCCCTTGAACATTTCCCATTGATGACTTGAGATCTTCAATTTGAACATCTTTCTTGTCCTTACGTTTGCGCGCGGCAGCCAACTCTTCACGTCGCAAGGCAAGAGTCTTGCGCGCAGTCTCAGAGTCAAGGTCAAGGCAAGCTTGACTCTGACCCAACTCTCTCTCGCGCTGGGAATTTGTAACTGTAGTCTGTTGCTGATGGCGTTCGAGAGCTATCAAGGTAAGTTCATTTGCCTTTTCAGCCGCTTGACTACTTTTGAGTGTTACATTAACCATATGAGTCATGCCGTCATTGCTTTGGAGTTTCTGACTCAAACCCTCGCGTAAGGCCCTAAGGGAGGTAGGAGGTCTACGAGCACCTTTGTCACCTTCGGATCCGTCCGATTCCTCTCCGTTGAGGTCTTGTCGGGAAGGAAGTGGTGCCAAATTGGTTCTAGCGGCACGTGAGTCACGAAGGTCATTTGCTCGAGCCAGGCCAGCGGCCGCAGCTGCTTTAACAGCAGTTATCATCTCCTACGTAAGGAGAAGTTTCAATGGTTAAATCAGACAATCAGTAGAGAAAAGGAAGTGAAGGACTTACCTCTTCTTCAGTCTGAAATTCCTTGATGAGTTTACGCAATGGACCATCATCCTTGTTGATTCCACTTGCTGCCTGTCTGACCCAAACCTTGAGTCAATTGAATCAATTTTTCACAATCGTAGTGGTTTTAGAATCGTTCATCGTGCGAAATCTATCGCGTGTGTCAGGATGCTCCTGTATATACCAAGACCAGATCAGTCAAAATTGAGAGATAGAGCTAATCAAAACAAAATCATTGTGAATCAACTTGCCTTTAGATGAAGAGTACATTTATGAAACCGCTCGGTCTGTTCTTTATAAACAGAAAACGGTTGGAATTCGATTAGGTGGGTAAGCTAGATTAAGTCCAGCTCCCCCGGATCATCCCAGTGCCAACGGTTAGAGCCAGTGGACACCAAATCACAGTCTTTGGTGGGTTTTTTTCTTTTGGGTGGGGATTTCCCATGTTTTACATGAGGTTGAATTGCCTTTGAAGCTGTCGAAGGACTCATTTGTGGAATTTGTGGTTCATCTGACGATTGAATCAAATTATCAATGAAAGTTAACCAGTTCAGATGTGCTCAGACAGGTAGGGGATGATGGAGAGCGTTTCAGTGATATCCTCTATGAGGAGAGGTGACACATACCTTTGTCAAGCTCATCCACCTCAGACTCTTGATCAACATCATGCATTGTGTCAACCTAGAGAGTAAATCACGTACTCCTTAGGAAGACTAGATACCACCAACCCTTAGAAAAAAATAAAAGAAAAACAATTCTCGTAGCTTACACATAGGCTACGAGAACCCTCACACCTCACACTCAAGTTTCAAGAGTGAATAATAGAATGTCCAGGGTTTAGTAATAGCCCATATGAATAATGAAACGTAACCAAACATCAGTTGTATAAAAATATGTAAACTAGTCAGGATCTAATTCAGACCCCGACCTGGTATGAGTTTTACCACAATCAAGCCATCCAAGCAAGGCACAATCAAAACCCTTGACAATAGGTTCAAACCAGGCAAAGCGGAAATGCCTTATAGACAAATGACTCATATAAATATCGACTCATTCGAGGAATAGATATCTTTCGGCATCTTATACTTTACATTACAAAACTTTTCTTTAGATACATTCACTCTATAACAATCAACCAAACCCCAACCGATTACTTCCTAAACAGAATTCTTATTTCATTCATCGTCAATAAGACTCTACTTACTTAGCTCGTTGTGTTTTCAAAATTGTTATCGTTTCACTATCCATACAAAGACTATTGTTCCGAATAGCTATTCAAGATCAACTGCTTGTTACAATCTCAATTATTACGTGTCTAACATAGGTCTCAAATCTTTGTGCTCAAATAATCAAAGCTAGGCTTTGCTATTTGGATAAGAAGTGGATCTTACGACCTGCCCTGGAATAGGAGTACTTGTACCCATTCGTAGAAGACCTTGAGTATAGTTCAACTAACTCGTGAGTACCTTTCAATTCTCAGTTCTCTTCCAAGATAAGATAGAAAACTGACTTCGGGCTCGAATTTACTTCAAGAAAGATTGTCGACTCTGTTATAACAAAGCCCACCCACTCTTCTAAAAACGCAATTCGTGAGTCTTATTCAGTCTAAAGTACTACAAAAGTAACACTTTTGGAGACTTCAGCTGACACGTTGGATTCAATTGAGGGCAAGTGCAAGATTTCTCAGACACATTGCCGCGGTGTGTCACTGGTGAGTCCTTTTGAATCAAGGTGTTACTTGACATCACTGCTGGGGTTGGATGTACAGTGGTTTTGTTTGTGAATGGCATGCAAGCTGAGCGTAAGCGTTGAGCTTGGCAAACAAAGTCAGTATGTCATAAAAAAAGCAAGATACAACAGTTCTATAGCCTCACCTGATGGACCGGCCTTGATGGAGTCATCTTCCAAATCCAAAAGATTACGCAAGCACTCATCCTCACCGGAGGAAGAATCCGGCCTGACTGGCCAAGTCACATCTAGATCATAATTTTGTGAAGCCGCTAGCTCACGATCCAGGATATGGCCGTCTCGACACCAAGGCAATGGATCACTTTAGTGGTCAAGGTAGTTGAGTGATCGGGCAGCACGGCAGACATTGTTAAAGCTGAGTGCAGAAGTGTCATCAGTGATAACTCGTGTACTTCTCCAGTCCACGATACTACCATAGTTGGCTCCTGATTGCCAGTTTGGATGTGAGATGCCATGTGTGTATAAGGGAGACGGCCCGTCGCGGGACAAATGGCTGAAACCAAGTGTACAAAAAATATATCTGTCAACTGACATTCCAGCTTACCTCTATGTATACAATTGGTCTAAATAAGACTTACGTGCGTCCAACAGGTGCCCACACCGCTCCTGGTGTCATCTCCATTGTACAACCAAGGCGAGTGTTGGTTGGGTGTGACCAAGGAAGTTCTTCGGTGTTTGAGACACCCTACAATCACCACCAGCTGAATGATGTGAAGCCAAAGAGGGCTTCTCGAAATCCATCACATTAGTAGACTCCACCAGATGAACTAACCAAAGTTTGAGACTTACCGATGAACTCATGTATGGTGTAGCCAAGCGGCCAATTTGATGTTGATGTATGTTGGCATCCATCGTTGCTGACCTGACTGATCGAGCAGGGGGGGTGTAGGGCGGAGGCCTTCCAAGTCTACCAATACCTATCATAGGCGGAGGAGACCAAGGCACACTGGCCCCACTGAGAAGCTGGGCACGGATCTAGATTAGAAACATGTTAGAAAAGGTGAAAGAAGCAGCCATCAATACAGTAAAAAACAGAGAGACTTACTGGGCTAGTTGGCCTATGATGTGCACTTGCTAGGGAGCCAGAGTTCGTAGTGTTGGCCAGACTAGCACCGCCTTGGTTGGGCGAGGCAGTGTGACTCAACATCGAGGTGACTGGCTGCGCCCCAAAATCACCAGACTAGCTGAAGGCATCAGCTGATATCCACAACACCAGTAAAAAAACTATGGAACTCCTCACAAGGCCGGGTAACGACTTGGTGAGGTTCAGACCAGTTTTCGGAGACCAATTAGGTTGTTTGACAGGTAAGGGCATGTTTAAAAGTACTAGGGGAACAATTCAAACCCTTAGTCAGCCCTAGCTAAAAGAATTCAAAAGATCTATCAAATTCCTCAACATACAATAATTTATCTAAAATAATTCTTATATCTAGATTTCAAGATGGAAAAGGGATATGTATAAGCTCCAGAAATCAAAAAAAGTTGTTTTAAATGATGAGGATATAAATTAACCACCACGAGTTGATTTCAACAGGATTACAATTGAGCATGGATTGCAGAAACAAGAAACACCCCAACATAGAACATCATGATTTATACCCTACATGTTATTCCCTTCCTAGACCTTTCACAAAAGTTTCACCGCACACAAAATTCTCAAACCCATAACTTTTAGCAATCATCCCAATTCCCAAAGTCATCCAACAGTTGAAGATTCAGACTGATTGGCACTTTAGAACAATTTAAAAAGAGAAAATAGGTTGAATTTGGAGACCAGACCAACGGAACAATCTCAAATAGTGAGGTAAGAAAAAGGACCACAAAAGCACCTTTCTATTCCTTCACTATTAAAAGAAGAGAACCCAAAACAAAGCAAAGAGCTGCTTTGACCCGGAGGATTGGCTGTGTAGATGGTCTCGTGCCTCACTGAAACCATGTGAAGCTCGACGTTGATCACACACTTAAGACATGGAATATGCTGTGTACAACGTCTCAAAGTGACAAACACTACAAAGAATATAATGTTTTCTGGGCAGAAAACACAAATATTGACATACAAAAATATTGGGCGGTTAGGAGGAGGGCAAAAAATACAAAAAAATATGGATATTGTTCCTGGTGTTGAGAGCTTCAAGCTAAGTATCTTTGTGTATTTCTAGAGGGCATATTGTTGAATGTACTAACAAAAAACCCCCATATTCATCAGATACACATCTGTAACAGATCCTGAAATTCAGTTCCTGAGATTTGAGAGGACAATTTGAATTCTACAAATGCTCATAAAATTTGCAATTCTTGCTCAAAATAGTTGCTTGTAGGCTCATTCGAAAGCCACAGTCTCTCTCTGAATGTCTTAATAATGATTGAAGGTTTCATTTTTTTCTTCCTTGGGTGTAATCACTTTGAAATATCTTCTTCCAAGCC